GACGGGTCGCCTTTGATTTGCAACGCCAATGTCCACATGACGATCCGAAGTAACCAGGGGGGCGCGACGCTTGACGGGGAGGGTAGTTCGCAGATTATTGTTCTCGGTTTGGGCTGCAGTCTTTCGCTTCGGCGGATGCACCTCACCAATGGCTACGGCCAATTTGGCGGTTGTATCAGTGCAGTTGGCGCTGATGGGATTCCATACAACAGCTCCATCTCTCTTTCGGACTCATCCTTTTCTCATTGTTTTGCAAGAAACCAGGGGGGCGCCCTCCTCTTTGCCTACTGGGAGCAAGGAGAACTCCTCGTGGAAAATACCAGCTTCTACAATTGCAGCACTGGGGGAGCTTCTACAATTGCAGCTTCTACCAGCAATCGTGGGGGAGCAATAAAGTGGGGCGAAATAAGTAGTAGGGCTGCTGCTTCTAGCCTCAGAATTGTCAACTCGCGTTTTGACGCTTGCACAAGCGGTTTCGGGGGAGCACTTGACTATGATACAAGTGCTGCCCCCGTTGTGGTCACCAACACGCAATTCACCCGGTGCCGTGCAGTTGTGGAAGGTGGGGCAATAGCTTTCAACACGCGTCAAGGTGGGAATTACCGACCAGCGAAGCTCATCCTGAAGGGAGCGTCTTTTGACGATTGCGCTGCAACCACAAAAGGCTCGAACTTGCTTGATTTCGTAGGACACTTGGCGGGTGGAGCTCTGGCGACCGCCGGCGGTCGCATATGGATTGAAGACTCAGACTTCAACAACTGCACTGCTGGATCTCGCTCGGTCACATGCTCGTGTGCCGGACAAAGGGCGTATGCGGGGTCTGTAATGTTGTGGCAGGCCGTCGAGGCAATCATAACCAATTCCAACTTCTCCAACTCTCACGCGATTGACGAAGGCTCTATCCTCAAAGCAAAAGGGGCAAAAAGGGTCAAGTTGGAAGGTTCATCCTTCCGCTCCTCTGCCGGCCAGGGTGCCGCTCTCTATTTGGAAAATGTTGGCGTGTTATCGCTCGAAAACGCGGTCATCGCCGACAACGTTGCATACAGCGCCGTGTCTGGTCTCTTCTTTTCCTCTTCCTCCGGAGACCGCGCGTCTACCATTCGCCACACGCGCCTCGTTCGCAACCGCGCTCTTTCCAACATTACGATGCTCGCGGCGTCTCCTTTGACTTGGGAGTGCCCCCATGGCCGCTGGATGCCTAACGTGGGGCAGTATCAGGGCGACTTGGCTGAATGCTCTGAAAAGTGTGCCGAGGGGTCCTTTGGGGAAGCGTCGGACCTCTCCTCTGCCGACTGCAGCGGCCCATGCCCCGAGGGACACTTTTGCCCTGAGGGAACCGTCGAGCCGGTTCCTTGTCCGGCCGGGACTCGCATGCCTAACCAGCGTGCCACTCGCGGAGCAGACTGTATCGAGTGTGCTACAGGGGAGCACCAGCCCCGAGCCGGCCAAACCGAATGCATCTCTTGTCCGGCCGGGACCTTCACCTCACGGCCTAGACAGGTTGCGTGTGAGGCTTGCCCGGCCGGCGGATTTTGCGAGGAGGTGGGTGCCGACACGCCCATGGTCTGGCAGGCCTGTCCAGCAGGTAGCTTCAACTTGCATCGCGGCTCCAACTCGAGCAACAGTTGCACGCGATGCCCTCTTGGTACCACCAGCACCGCGCCTGGGGCGATGAGCGGTGCCAGCTGCACGCCTTGTGAGGCCGGCTTTTACGCAGCCCGCCCCGACGGTGAGTGCATCCCTTGTCCATTCCCACTTAGCAGCAGCGGCGGCAGCGTCACCTGCTCCGTCTGCAAGGAGGGCTTCTACTTGAAGGACTCGAGCGCCGACCCGGCCGACGTCTTCAAATCCCCAACCGAGTACTGCAAGCCATGCCCGCCGGACGCCGCGTGCCCGGTCGGCACGACCCTCGAGACCCTCGGCATCCCGCTCGGCTTCTGGCGCGCCAGCTTCTCCAGCGCCGAGCTCACAGAGTGCCGCGCCTTTGGAGGGGATGGCCAGGCGGGCCAGGCGCGGTGTGTCGGCAATGTTGATCCGGGAGAGGCTAGCGGTCGGAGGGTGCAGGAGGCCGGCTTGGACTACTGCGCAGACGCCTTCGCCGGCCCCGAGTGCCAGCTCTGCCGCGAGCCGAACCACTACCTGGACGCCGACGGCGCCGCCTGCAACGAGTGCGTCGCTGTCGGCACGGCGGCGGGGCACACGGCGGGCATCGCCCTCGCCCTCTGCGTCGCGTTTGGCCTCGTGGCGTTGGCGTACTCAACTCAGCGCGGGCAAACCGAATGGAGGAAGGAGCGCTTCATCGGACTTCCCTTGCGCATCGCCGACCGCACCGAGCAGGCGCTTTGTGGGTGGCGGGTATGGGCGGCGGCGTTGGGTGGCCGGCCGAATCGTTAGCGGAGCTCCTCCCTTTTCTGCTCCTCCTCCCAAGCTCCCATTGGTCGACTGCGCCCTCCTCCTCCGCCTCCAATTCGCCGACTGCGCCCTCCTCCTCCATGGGCTCGATCCGATTCCGCAGCGTCGAGCGTGTCGTCCCCAGCGGCGGTAAGCCCTAGTCTGGCCGGTTCTTTTGTCAGATCGACACGAAATAGAATGAGATAGAATGAGATAGCCAGATAGCGCCAGATAGCGCCAGATAGCGCCGGATACATAGCGCCCCAACCCGCCGCTGCGGCGGGGCGCCCCGCCCCCCTCTCTCGCCGCGCGCCTTTGGCACCGTGCTCTCTCGCCTTACTACGACCACCTAGATGGTGCCGACGGCTGCCTTCCACGCCCGGTGCTCCTCAGTGTTGAGGTCGAAGGTCAGCTTGAAGTCAGTCGGATCGGGCTTGGGGGGGCGGATCTGCTCGTAGCCTGCCTCCTCGCCGCCGAGGCGATCGGCCTCCTCGCAGGTGAGGCAGAGCGCACAGCCTGGTTGCGCATCGAGCCACTCCTTCGACTTGTGCTTGTTGTCAAGCGCCAGCCGCCACCGCTTCTCGAGCGCGATCGCCATCGGGTTGCTCGCGTGCCTCCCCATCCAGTGCGAGTACAGCTGCGACACGGCGCTCACGCCATTGAGCACGCGGTGGCTCTTCTTGCACGAGTCGAAGGGGCAGATGAGGACCACGGGGCTCGGGTGGTAGTCGGCGTTGCCCATCACCTACCAACAGGAACAGGACGGCATGTGTGTACAGGACGGCATGTGTGTATGTGCGTGTGCGTGCGTGCGTGCGTGCGTGCGTGCGTGCGTGCGTGCGTGCGTGCGTGCTCACCTTCTCCGTGAGGCCACGGCCCTCAAAATACTTGGCCAGGTACTCTGGCTCCGACCGCATGATGTCGCTCGATGCGGGCTTCCACGAGCTGTCTGGTGCCAGCGACTCAAACGGCAAGCAAGTGTTTTGCGACGGGTACTTGTAGTGTTAGGAGCAACACGACGCCGATCGTTGAAAGTAGCAACCACTCACACACACACACACGCCTCTAACCAACTGGCTCAGTTGAAGAGGCCGCTCCCACAGCTCTCACACCTATCTCTCTGGTACACAATATTGGAAGCGTTGTGAATTGTAGACCATTGGCCTCCTAAAAATCTCTCTCTCAACTCTCTCTCCGTAAGACTTCGGAGAAGGCAAGCCGTGAAGTTGTCCACCGTCTCGGCGTCGACAACAACTCTCGAACCAGTCGTGCTGCGGGAACGGCCCCTCTGATTGCTCTGACAGGTATGCCTTGCACCTCGCCATGGATCCGCGGCAGAAGCCAATCCCGCAACGCTTTCAGGAAAGAGAGGAGGAAGACGCATACCAAAACTGCTCCAATCAGTAGCTCCATACGTTGCCTTTCACTGTGTAGGAGTTGCTGCAGCTTCTCGATCTTTGAAGTCTTGTCCTGCAGCAACATTTTCTGCTTCCAAATGTAGTCTAATACGTCATCGCACCTCCGCCATGAGGACGGCCTTGTGCGAGCGCTGTCGTTGAGAACGAAGCGGCCCGAGTGTTCTGTTGCCTTCAAGACATATTTCCTGAGTTAGCTCGTTCCCTTGGTGAGGGCGGTCGTGTTCGTCATGGCCGGGTCGTGCATGTACGTCTGGGCGACGTCCGTCGGACTACGGTCCGTTTAGCAGGTCTTTGGATCGGCTTCAAATCGTCCTCCTTGACGCCGCTCGCGATGTTGGTACGGGCGAGGTCGAGTGTCTCGGTCATGGTTTTGAAGAGGGAAGTCGTGCGTCCCGCCTCGAGCTGCAGATCCCGGCCGGTCACATTCGTGTACGTGTCCCGCTGACACGCAAGGTACTGTCCAGTTGTGGGCAACCAGTGGCTCTGAATGCGCATGCCGAGGATCGAATCTGACTCAAAGCGCACGGGGTTGGTGCCGCCGACCGTCGGGAGGAAGCCGAGGAGTGCCAGGAGGATCCAGAGGGCGCCGACGGTGCCGATTCCGCCGCAGAGAGTGGCGGTCGAGGCCAGGCCGTGCGCGTGGGCCGGTCGGGCTCGGTGCTGCGGCGGGCGACCGGGCGCCGCACGGCTGGCCCCGTCGGCCGAACGGCGCCGCCGAGCGGCCGGGCGCTTCGGATTGGGCCCGCCGGCCGGCCGGGCGCCGGCTGGCATGGTCGGCCGGGCCCCCGGGAGGCAGGGGCGGGCGCGGTCGGGAGGGGGCCGCCAAATCGACCAAATCGAGGGTGTTGCCGCGATTTTGGGCTGCTACTTTCAATGATAGGGATCCTTAGGTCATCCTTTACAGTTTTAGGTATATGTTTTTGGTTTTATATATTGAGGTCAGATCCGCTGGGAGTCCCAGCTGTGTGCAGGGGCGCCCCTGCACACGCGTGCACACAGCGGGTCCCCAAGGGTGAACCAGCGGCCGCTGTCCGTCGCAAGTCGCAACGTCCGTCCATCCCTCCGTACATCTCAGCGCGACACGCAGGAAACCCGGCCACGAGAAGGCCGCTCGGGCGTACATCGGAAGGTGTCGAGGCCGTGCGGCGTTAGCCAGGAGGCCGCTCGGGGTGTACATCGTGGCACAGAGCCATGATCCGGGAGGTTGTCGTCCGTGACACCGACGATGCACCGCACAACAACACAAACCCTTCTCCCCCCCAGTCGCCATCGGGACCATGGTGGAACATGCGGTGGAGCACCCTCCCATCGGTCCGCTGCACAGAGGTCGGGCAGGGCGCCAAAGTGTCGGCACCGGCGTCGGATGAGTTTGCCGCTGTCGGACAGCTGATGGCAGTCGGCCGGCGCGATGAGCTCGTCCCGTTCGGCTGCTGTTGCCCGGGCCTCTTCCTCGGCGCTGCCGGGTCGCGCGTGAAGCTGGCCTATGAGCAGTACGCCCAGAGGTTCCCGAATAAACTCAAGCACTGCGGCGCGCTCCGGTCTGACAAGGGCTCGCTGGTCGGGTTTTGCCAGCTCCAGCTGGCCGGCGACCCAGGCAACCTCGCTGTCCAGGAGTGGGCGCGCATCAAGCTGTTGCCAGACGAGGTGCGCCCGCGGCCGGGAGTTGTCAACAAAATCACTTGGCGCGAACAAAACCTGATCAAATCACGCCATAGTGGCCTACCAGGCGCCTCTGTGTGCCGGTTAGGCATACCTCGAGTGGCTCGGCACCGCGCCATCTGCCCGGGTGCATGCTCTGAGCAGTGGGCGTACCAACCCCTCAGGCTGGCGCGCACACACATTCCCCGCTGCCCGCCCGTAGGGAAAGGGCATTGGAAGGAAGATGCTAGCGTGGGCGTGCGAAAAGGCGCGCATTTCAGGCGCAGGGCACCTCAGCCTTCACGTCAAGCGGGGCAGCACCGCCGCGAGGCGGCTCTTTGAGGAGGCGCGCCCTGTCCCGCGCACATGCGCTGTCCGACTCGAGGAGGACCCTGCCGGCCGTGCTGCACTCGACCGTGAAGTCCCCCAACTGTAGGCTGACTTCGTCGTCAAGCCGGACCCGCATGCTGAGCGGGGCGGTCTGTGCCTCGGGCCGAGGTTCTTCTGCCACTTTGCTTGCTCCCATTGCTCTCTTCTCTACATGGAAAAGGCGCTGTGACAGACGCCATCTGATATCACACCCAGTCCCCGTTTGTCTTTTCATCGCGCACGCGTACCCCTCTCTCGCACCCTCCGCCAGACACGGCGGTGGGGTGTGGGCCTGTGCGGTGTACGAAAGGTGTCATCATACGGCAAACAAGGCTGTCACGCCTCACAGCCTCACCACCACACAATCACAAAATATAAACCCGCCCCCAGGGCCTCCCCTCGGCTCCCTCTGTCTCTCCACAAAACGTCGATCTCGTATAGAGGGGGGGGGGGGGGGAGGGGCGCGCGCGTGCTCTATCGGTATCGCTAAAGTATGGTTAAGTTGTCGCGCACCTATCAGAATCACAGGTGCGGTAAAACTTGGGTACAGGCCAAGCTGCCGGCTAGCGCCACTCACACGGACGGGACGCCAGGACGGACGCCCCTACCTACCACCTACCTAGCCTACCCACCCAGCTCCCTGAAAAAAATCAAGAAAATCTAGTCGTCTGTAGTCAAAACACAACCCTCTTCCTGGCTCACAAGCTGAAGACGTTCACGGGCCCCCACACGGAGGCTGCGGAGCCCCGGGTACTCTTTATAGCTGTACTCGTCTAGGCAGGGATTGGTCAAAACACAACAACTTTGCTCTCTCTCTCTCTCTCTCTCTCTCTCTCTCTCTCCCTCTCTCTCTCTCTCTCTTTGTGTGTGTGTGTGTGTGTGTGTGTGTGTGTGTGTGTGTGTGTGTGTGTGTGTGTGTGTGTGTGTGTAGTCGGCTGCTTCTGTTGGAGAGTGTGAACTCAAACCTACTTCCTGACCGTAGCCTGACCGTCCTTGTGTAACCGTCTCATGTTTGGTTTGTCCTGCCGCGCACATTGTCATCGACTTGTATCCGACTTGGTGGCTGTGGTGATGTAGCGATGGTGTGGGTCTCTAGTGACCTATACAGCTCCTCCGTGTTCCCCGTCTCCTGACAGCTTCTCACAGTTCGCAGAGATGTCCATTCCACCACCACCAACAAGAAAAACGGCCAGCGTCGATGCGCTTCCAGGAGTCGCCGACTTCAAGGAGGGGCGAGCGACGGTGAGCGCCGAACAGGCTTGCATCCAGGGGTCCTCCTTCTCTATTGCACCGCGATGTGGCCGTATTACATCGCCATCGCCTCCGTCTTCGCCGCAGCCCTCTTCATGCGCATGGAGGCGCAGCAGCGCGGCGGCGCGGCCAAGGAGGCGGCGGCGACTCGAAAGACAACGGCTGCCGCGCCGCCCAAGGAGGAGGTGGATGAGGCGGAGCCGAGCGAGCGCGCTCATCAAGGCGCACGCGCTGAGCGGGTACGCCTACCTCATCGCCCGCGGCAAGGTCCTCGACATTGGGGTCTCATGCATTCGAACTACGACGTGGGCATTGCTTTTGAATTTAGCTAGCGACTAGCGCACCCCGCACCCCCCACCTGCCCCCCACCCCCCCTCCACGTCTTCGTGGGGGGTGGACGGCCCCTGTTGTCGTGGGTCGAGGGGAGTCGGTCGGCCGACATGGGCTCAAGCATGTGGCCAGTCCAAAGCGGACGACAGCCACCGACCACGGAATGCAGCGCAACTTCTTGGCTCAGCAAAACAACGCAGGATGCACTCGATGCAGGGCTGACGTTCAGCCCTTGCCGTTGTGCACTCGCGCATCCGCAGAGCTGCCCGGCTGCCCGTAGCATTCCACAGCCCTTCTCAAATCAAACCCGGGTAAATCATCTATGGCAGCTGTCGCGGCAACTGGAATCATATCATGGCTCGCGGTGTAGGACTGTCGCGTACCAGGTAGCGTTTGGAGCGAAATACGTGCGGCAATCGCACAGCCGCGCTCCCCTCCACCTTTGCGATTCGTGCTGCTTCTTCCGGATCGTGCTGGGCAACGATAGCAGCCCCCCCGTCATCTCACACGGAAACTCCTTTGTCTTGGGACTCGACGCTAGTTTGCTGCTCTTTGGTGGCAGCCACAATATCATGCGGCGCAATGTCAAGGTGTTCAAGCTGCTGGGGACCCACCTATTTGCTTGGGCGAAGTGGCTAGTGTGGATTGACAGCAAGCTGGATGGGGACTACCAGCGCAACAACGAAAGGCTCAATGCCATGAAGAATTATGTGCAAAGGTCGAGACGAGGACGGGACAACGACGGCGTGTGTGCTGTGTTTATCGGGCTGCCTGCGCACCCCCACGCATTTGGAAAAGGGGAGCTCGACCCCTCGCGCCTCACTCTACAACTGCACGCAAAGACGATCAGGGAGTCAAACATGCACCGCAACACCACGGACGACGTCACCCTGGTTGAAAGGCAGATTGACGCCTACTTTGTAGGAAAGGGTTCAAACGCCAAGCGTGGACTACAGTTGTCGTTGATCGATAGCGCGTTTTTCGTGCGCAATCACCAGACTGCCGAGTGTGCTGCATTCAATGCGCAGCTCGGTTGCGCATGGCTCAACGAAGTTTCGTGTTACTCCGACCGCGACCAGCTGAGCTTCCCGGCAGTGGTGTCTAGCACATTACAGCTCGCCACGCGTGACGTGCCCGCCGCGCAACTGTTTGGCAGGAACGCAAAAGATCGCCTGTTTCGCGACAGAAGCGGGAAGCCCTGCCTGGCTGTACTGGCACCGCAGCGAGGCACACAGCCTTTGCACTGGTATTACAAGTAGCCCTCTCCCCCCAGCCACCAACGCACACCGAGACCCGAGTATTGAGAGAGCGGGTACAGGAGATGCACTGCTCCACTAAAACCGTAAAGTTGCGGCGACTTGTGAACGTCATTCTCATACGGCACTGACACAGTGTTTATTGGCGGAGCACTTGGATTATTGATATTGTGCATAATATAAGGCCACACACACGATCTCTTCCCCCTCCTCTTTTAGTGTGCGTTCTCGCTGGGCCCGGCGGCGGGGGGCGGCGCCTCCAGCACCAGCTCCCTCCAGCACGCGCGCGCTCTCCGTCCAACTCCATCTGCATCTGTTCTCACCGCGGACCGACAGCGAGTTTCACTTTCAGAGTGGTGCGCGCCGTTCTGGCTGAGTTGGCTGTTGCCTATAAACGGAGCGAGCTCTAGGGAGGCAGAGAGACCAGACACCACAGCACAGCACGAACTTGAGTTCTTATATCTCTCCCCCCAACAATTGGGGGGACAAGAGCAGAGCACGACCCAAGAAAGCGCGGCGGCGCGATTGCTCGCGATGAGGGACGCGGCACAAGCTCAGATCTCGAGGGAGCGGAAGACGAGGGGCAGGCCAAGCGAGGTCGCGAACCCCATGGAAGAAAACATGATGACGTGCCGCAACATTTTGGGGAACGGCGCCTTGGTCGGGGGCAGGAGCTTGAGCACCTGGCTCTCGACGAGGAGCGAGACAAACTTGGTGCTATGCCACAGCGCAAGCAGCGTCGCGAAGCCGAGCAGGTTGCGAGCGACCAGGCGCACTGTGTTGGCGAGGGTGAGCCGCAGCATGAAGGCGCGGGCGAGGTCCGGCTGCGCCGGATCGAGGAAGTAGTCGTTGACGCCGAGCGTGGCGGCGCCGTTGGCGCCGATGATGAAGCAGATGCCGAAGGCAATCGCCTTGAAGGAGTAGCCGAAGGCGGACCAGGAGCGCGGCTCGGTGGCGGTGAAGGGGTGCACGAGGAGGAGGAGGACCCCTCCGACGACGAGGGCCGCCCATTGTGGCAGGCCAAGCAGGTACGAGTTTGGCGAGACGATCCAGTCGTTGACCGAGTCGCAAATGGGTAGCCACGCGCGCACGAGGACGCCGCCGACGAGCATGCCGCCCTGGACGTCGGCGGGCGAGGAGGCGCCCGAGAAAAGGCGCGCAAAGGCGATGACGGCCACCCACAGGAAGGCGAGCAGGTAAGAGACGAAGGTGGCGAGCTGGTTCTGCTCCGAGAACGGGGTGCCCGAGCCGAAGCCGCCGTACCAATAGCGCATCGCAAAGAAAGGGAGGGCGACGGCGTTGACGAGGTACATCGACGGCCATCCGAAATCGGAGGTGGAGTGCGCAGTGGCCGAGCCCGCCGCTCCGAGCGGCCGCGCAAGGGCAAAGAAGTTCTTGAGCCAGTTGCCAATGTAGATGTTGACGGCGAAGAAGGTGACAAACATGGGAGGGTGCGCGTTGGGAGAGGCGGACCACGAGAGCATGGGGATGATAAAGAAGTAAAACGTCTCGGCGCCGAGCAGCTGGCCGCACGCGAAGAGGCGGCGCGCGAGCGGCGAGTTGAGGCCGGCGTTGCGCAGCTTGTGCAGCGGCGGCATCAGCGCGAGCTCGTGCAGCTCCATCTGCCGCTGGATGTACCGCCGCACCGTTTGCCGGAAGACGTTGACGAGGAGCACGATCGGGACGGTCACGTTGGGCACCTCCGACTCGAGCGCCACGGAGACGTTCCCCTTGACGGGCACATTGTCGAGCGTGCGCGCTGTCGCCGCCTCCGCGGCAACCCCGTCGGACGAGAGCGCCTTGGAATCGAGCAGCTTGGGCTTGACCACCTCGCTCGCCGCGGCCTGCAACTTCGCCGCAACCGACTGCTCGCTGAGCTCAGCCGAAAGCGCCTCGGCCAACACCCGGAGCGAGGGCGCCAGCGCCGAGATACGCACGTCGCAATGAGCGGTCAGCCGCAATGCCGCCGGCTGCGGCGCCTGCACGTGCGCCTGCGCCGAGTGGCGGACGAGCTGCATGGCGATGCCGCCCTCACTGGCCGATACCTTGGCCGCGGCGCGGCGCAGCGCCGCCTCCTGCTGCGCCGGCGTGAGCACCGAACGCGCGAGCGGCGTGAGCCGCACCTGCGCAATCGGCGAGTCGGTAGAGGCCCGCAGCTCGATGTGTGGCAACGGCGCCACCGCCTCCTGCAGCGCGGATGCCATGGCGGCCGACACGGCCGCGAGTCGAGCGGGCCGCTCCGGCTCGGCGTCGATGATGCGCAGCGCCTCGTGTGCCGCGATGGTGGCGTACGCGGGGAGCGACGCTGAGAAGCAATACCCCGAGCCCGAGAGGACCTGGTGCGACACCATCGGCGCCGAGCCGGCGCAAAAGCCGCCGACGGAGCCGAGTGAGTGCTCGAGCGAGCCGACGTAGAGGTCAATCTCGTGGGGGGGCACGCCGCACAGCTCTGGCGCGCCGCGGCCCGTTGCGCCCAGCGAGCCGAAGCCGAGCGAGTCGTCGACGATGAGGTAAAACCCGTACTTCTTGCGCAGCTCGAGGATGGCCGTCAGCGGCGCGACGTCGCCAGAGTTCATGTAGAGTCCCTCGACGAGAACGAAGCGGCGCGCCACCTTGGAGGGCGGCAGTGTCTCGTCGGCGCGCGCCTGCGCCGCGAGCGCCGCCTCGAGCGCCGCGACGTCGTTGTGCGCAAAGGGGCGGACGGAGCCGCGTGCCAGCCGCGTCCCGACGGCGGCAGTGAAGTGGACGCCGTCGTCGACGAAAAGGAGGTCGCCCTTGCGCACGAAAGCGGGCACAACCGAAGAGATGGTGGCGATGCCAAACGAGTAGATGATGGCGCGCTCGGTGCCCAGGAAGGTCGCGAGCGCCTTTTCGATGTGGATGTGCGCGTCGAGCGTGCCGTAGAAGCCCCGCGGGCCGCACGTGCCGCACCCGTACTTGTACAGCGCGGCCTCGGCGGCGCTCTTGGTGCGCGGGTCGACCGTCATGCGGAGGAAATCAGTGCGGCGCAAGTCGAGCTCGCCGGGCACCTTGAGCAGCGCGTCCGCCGCCGCCTGCTTGAAGACCTCGTCGCGCGGCGTCTCGCCGTCGGGCGCCGCAGAGACGAGCGGCTCGGGCACCCACGCGGTGACCGAGCCGGGCGCATCGAGCGGCGCGTTGTGCAGCTCCTGCTTGCGCTCGATGGCGAGCTGGTCCAGGTCCTCGCCGCGCGCGAGCGCGGCGGCGGCCGTGGCGCGGTCGTAGAGCACGCCCGTCTCGAGGCCGGCCGACTCGACCATGCGCAGCGCGTGCTCGAGCTCGTCGCGCGTGTGTGAGGCGGCGATGCAGAAGCGGGAGCGCGAGAGGAGGAGCGGCGTCGCGGGGAAGCCGACGACGACGACGGCCAGCGCGCGCTTGAGGCAGTTGCGCGAGAAGCCCGAGATCTTCTCGGGGTGGTAGAGCATGATGGGCGTGATGGGCGAGTCGAGGTCGCCGAGCACGCGGCACCCCATCGCCAGGAGCCCCTTGCGGAACATGTTCGAGTTCTCGCGCAGCTGGTTGATCTTGCGCTGCCCGAGGTCGCCCGTGGACGGGTCGGAGCCCATGATGACGCGCAGCGCAGAGAGGGCCTGCTGGACAGCCGGCGGCGACATGGCGGGCGCGTACAGCGAGCCAGCCGAGTGGCGGCGCAGCGCCTCGACCATGTCGCGCGAGCCGGCTATGTAGCCACCCACCGAGCCAAACGACTTGGTGAAAGTGCCCATCATCATGTCAACGTCAGCGGTCGGGACGCCGAGGTGGTCCGTCACGCCCCGGCCGCGCGGGCCGACGGCGCCGACCGAGTGCGCCTCGTCGAGGTAGAGGTACGCGCGGTACTTCTTCTTGAGCGCGACCACCTCGCGCAGGCGGCAGAACTGCCCCTCCATCGAGTAGATGCCCTCGACGATGATGATGATCTTGCGCCACGGCGTGCCGTCGGGCTGCCCCTGCTCAGTCGCGCGCGCCAGGATCGCCTGCGCGGGGCGGGGCGGGCAGCGCACGGGAGCGGTCAGGGTGCGGGGACGGGGGCGGGGACGGGGGCGGCACGCAGCAGAGGGGACGGGAGGGCGCGGGAGACGGGAGAGGGGGCTTCTCGCGCCTCGAGCTGGTGCATGTCGTTGTGCACGAACGGTTGCACGCGCGCGCCCGAGCCCCGCACACCCTCGACGATGGATGCGTGGTTGAGCGTGTCCGAGATGACGAGCACCCCTTTGCCGTTGCCGTTGACGTCGACGAGGACCTAGTGGGGGGGGGGGGGGGCGAAACGCGGCCGTGCGGCCGTGCGAGGCGCGGCCGTGCGGGGCGCGTCGACAGTGAGGGTCGTGGCATCCGAGGGAAGGGTGTGCAGGGCAAGGACTGGCACGGGAGCGCTCGCCGCATCGCCGTTGCCGTCGCGCGCGCGATCGCACACGTCAATCGAAGAGGAGGCCATACCCGCGATGGGCCGGTTCCAGCAGTCGACGATGCGCTGGTACAACCGCTTCGTGTAAAATATCTGCCACCCCGTCCAGATCGGCGGTCCCACCCGCTGGCCCGAGGGCGTGTTGCCGCGGGCGGCGCTGGCCGCGCGTCGCCAAAAGAAGAGGAAGGCGACGAGCTTCTCGACGAGGTCGAGGACCTTGCCGCGGGCGATGAGGTAGGCGTACCCGCTCAGCGCGTGCGCCTTGATGAGCGCGCTCGGCTCCGCCTCATCCACCTCCTCCTTGGGCGGCGCGGCAGCCGTTGTCTTTCGAGCCGCCGCCGCCTCCTTGGCCGCGCCGCCGCGCTGCTGCGCCTCCATGCGCATGAAGAGGGCTGCGGCGAAGACGGAGGCGATGGCGATGTAATACGGCCACATCGCGGTGCAATAGAGAAGGAGGACCCCTGGATGCAAGCCTGTTCGGCGCTCACCGTCGCTCGCCCCTCCTTGAAGTCGGCGACTCCTGGAAGCGCATCGACACTCGGTGTTTTTCTTGTTGGTGGTGGTGGAATGGACATCTCTGCGAACTGTGAGAAGCAGCCGACTACACACACACACACACACACACAGAGAGAGAGAGAGAGAGAGTGACTCTGAGCCGCATCTTGTGTGTTTAGACGAAAACATATACTGGGTCCTTCAGCCTTCCTGACCCGACGGGGACGCCATCACCCTCGCCCAGGGATCTACATGCTGTCTCAAGGTCCGACAGGCGTCGGCACCGGGCACCGCCTCGGTATACAAAATGCGCCTGCGGGCGGACCCTTACAGATCACAGATCACATATACTGGGTCTGGGAGATTTCTCTCCATACTGGTAACACCGTACGTGTAATAGTGGTGTGGGGAGAGATTCCGCGCTATGACGTCGGTCGCAGCTCTCGGGCCAGCAGCAACGCGCAGAGCATGACGTAGAGCAGCCCGACGCCGAGCCGCCGCAGCTGCGCGCGGTGGCGATCGAAAAACGTCCGCGCCCCCTTCGCGCCATCGTCGTCGCTAACCTCGCAGACGGCGGCGCCGGCGGTGAGCGGCTCCTGCGCGAAACGGGAGTGGCGCACCCAATCATTGGCCACCAACTCTTCCACCGAGAGTCGGTCGCACGGCGAGAGCTGCAGCATGCCCTCGACCAGCTCGGCCGCCTCACGCGGCACGTGGCGAGGCATCTCGTACTCGAGACCGACCACCTGCCGCACAATCTCGTCGAAATTCCTGGCCGAGAACGGCGGCTTGCCGGTGAGCATGAACAGCAAAGTCGAGCCGAGCGACCAGACGTCAACCGAGGGGGCGAGCGGCCGCCGGCCGCAAACTGAATCAGCACAATAGCCCGTGAGTTGCTCGGGCGGCGCGTAAGCGGGCGTGCCATGCGCAACATGCGACAAGTGCCCGATCTTGGCGGCGTAGCCCCAATCGGTGAGGACGGCCCGGTCGCACGCCAGATTGAGCCGCACCTAGGAAGGAATGGAATTCCCCCCTTGAGGCCGAGCCCGCGCAAGGTGGGCGCGGGGCGGCACGCGCGTTGTCGGGCTTGACGTCGCAGTGAACAAATCCGCACCGATGTGCGTGCGCGAGCGCGAGCAAAAGCTGCGCGAAGATCTCGCGCGCCTAGCGACGGGTCAGCGACAGCTCTGGGCAGGGCCGGCGAGCGCGCTGCAGCGGTGCAGAGATGTCGCGCTTCAGCGGGCGGCAGCCGACCCGCCGGCTGCGAGGTGACGTGCGCGGGCAGCTCGGGGCCGTCGATGCGCTCCATCACAATGTAAGTGCAGTCTTGCAAGTCGATGACGTCCGTCACCTGGACGATGTGCGGGTGGAGGCCGAGCTCGCGCAACACGTGTACCTGATTGCACAGCCGAACCGTTGTATTGAATGTTGCACGGTGCGGCCGGGGGGCGAGCTCGCGCAGCGAGTGCACCTCCCACATGATGAGCCGCTCCACGTCCGAGCCCGGCAAGTCGTCCCTCCCCTTGCGGATCATCTTGACAGCGAGCTTCCTCTCGCCCGCCTCGCGCACCACACTCGGAACCTGCCCGCCCCCCTCGCCGTCCCCGCCCTCGGCCAGCTCGCTCTGCGAATCGAGCGATGCCGACGAGAACCGGCGCCTAGCGGTCGTAGCTCGACTGGGTGAGGCTCCCGCTGACCAGCCGACCCTTCTCCATCGACGAGGAGGTGCCCGTGCGCAGCGAGGACCGTGCCGTGCGTCCCCTCACCAAGCGTGCCACCTAAGTCACACGCCGCGCTCGTCGAGAAGAGATCACGCTCACGAGCGCCCCAGTTGCAGAAACTGGCCGCCGAGCTCGATCAAGTTCGGCACCGAACCGATGTTTTGGCGGCACGGCGCGAGGATCGGCGAAGCGGGCAGCAACGCACCGCCTCCCGCCGCGCCCCCCGCCGCGCCTCCCGCCGCACCTCCCGCCGCGGCGCCCGCCGCGCCACCTCCGCCGCCACTCGCCGCCGGCACAGCGCCCGCGGGCGCCGCTCTGTTGCCGTGCGGCTGGCTGCGTGGCGCCTCGACTGCGGGGCAGCACTGGAGAGAAGCGAGCATCTGCTGCGCTGTGGTCCGCCACACGGGCTTGATGGAGGAGGCCGGGTCTGGCTCGAGAGTGCCGAGCGAGGAGAGGACGAGCTCGCCTGAGAGACGCCATGGAGGATGTGATGGACGTGGCGCTTGACCACGCCGGGAGGGGAGACGGCCGGCTCGCCGAACCACGGCCTTCCACCCGACGAGAGGTAGCCGAGCCTAGTCTGGGGTATGTGCGGTGGAGTCTCTTGTTGGGCGGTGCGTCCGGGCGAGAGCAGAGACGCGCCGGCCAACCGAGGCGAGCTGCTGCAGCGCGTCGACAATGGTGGCGATGGGCGAGTGCTGCAGTTGCTCGCGCATGATGTCTGCTCACGCGCAGAGGGTGTGAGCTGGAAGTTTGCTGGAAGCTTGCTAGACCCGGAGTGCCGCCGCTCGCGCAAGACACACCGATCAGCTCGCTCGAGATGACGTGCGCCCCGCAAGAGATCGCGTCGTAGTGGCTCATCTTCTTGGCGACACGCGCGATCCGACCCCCGGGGGCAGCGCCAAAGTCGGTCAGCACCTAATTAATTAGTTAATTAGTTAATTAGGTGATTAGTTAGTTAATTAGGCGCCAAAGTCGGTCAACACCTTGACGATGGTGTGGATGTGCCCGTTCTTGCAAAACTCGGCGCAATGGTCGACCGACGCCCACTCAACGCTGTCTGTGGAGTCGTCAATCAGCGAGACGGCTCCCGTCGAGCTGTCGTGGCAAGCGCGCGAGGGGGTGAGCAGGGGAGACGGCAGGGAACGTGTGGCGAGCGAGTGGGCAGGGAAGTGGGCGTAATTCGGCGACGAGGGTGTCGGTTGCGTCTCTCGGCAAGCTGCCGCGCCTGTCGAGCGCGAGGCCCCGCATCATCGAGAGCAGTGCCTGCGCGGAGGACACGTCAGACGGTCTGCACGCCGAGAGAGCTGAGAGGCGGCGGAACGAACGCATCTCCACAGGGCAAGGCGGGGGAGATGGAGCAAGCCTGCCGATCGCGGGGGCACAGCGCGGGCCTGCGGGAGGCTTTTGGCATCTAGAGGCGCGCCGGGTCATACAACTGGTTCGCCACGAGGAGGATCGGCTCATTGGCACAAAAGTGCGACGCCGCGTTCACCACAGATGACGCCCGCAGGGTCGCGAGCCCGCTCTGCGCGCCGGAGCCGGTGACAGTGCAAAACTCTAGCTTCATGCCTAGGAGGCCTCCGGGCGTGAGTCAGGCGTCTGAGGGCGTGACGTGCGGAAGGGGAGCTCGCGCCTGCTAGCATCGGATCGGCTTGCAGCGAAGCGGCGAGGGCGTTCGACTTGACGTCGAGGGTGATGACCGCGCGCTCGATGCCCGCGCGCTTGAGCCCGAGCAGCAAGTGGCGCAGCACCGGTGTCGCGTCAAGGTGCAGCAGCCGGAGGCCGAAGCCGCCTGTGCCCGAGGCGCGCCGCGCAGCGACGCGAGAGGTGCCGACGACGAGGGCCGCACGAGCAAGGCGAGGATGGCGGGCCTGGCTGTCTCGTGAGCGCATTCTTGTTGACCCAGCGCGGACGCGCGGCACCTGCGGCCACACAGGAGGTGAGCAGAGCGGGCCGGAGGCTGGCCGTGCGTATGCACGCGCAGCAAGGGTGGCGAGTGGCGACCGGTCCAAGTCTCGTGCAGGTGGTGGTAGCGTGCGTGTGGCCCCGCGCGCTCTCCAAGCGTACTTACAAGAAGTCTCACGCCAGCGCCCAAGCAGGACAACTGAACGGCGAAAAAGAAAGACTGCCGGGCTAGCAGGAGAGGTCGGGCCCCACAGTCGTCGCGTAACCATCGAAAGGCGAACAGGAGGGGGACCGAGGGGAGGGAGGGCCCCCCTCGGAGTTGGGGTGAGGAGACCGTGCGCGGAGCGGGGGGTTCCGAGCGGTGATGTCAGCGAGGAATGTGTGTGTTGTCGTGCTAGTGTCTGGTGTCTACTAGCCCCGAGTAGAGGGGGCGTTCCGCTGCTAGGGGAAACCCGCGGAGCGCAGAGCTAACCCTCGGGGACCCGTGTTTACTTTACGGCCCTTTCCCTCTGCGAACGCGCACCCCCGGGGCTAGGGCTCTCTTGCCCGTAACCCGATGCCAATCATCCGGCCCGCTGGGTGCGCTTCTGAGCTCCCTGGCCCTGGATGTGCGGTTAATGACTGCACTCCAAGTGTGCTTTAAGTCCGCGCGTCGCCCGCCCGCGCCCACCCCGATTCTGGCCGCCCTCCCGCCCAGCGCCCATCCGTCTCCCCTTGAAGAGGCCTGCTCTACTCTATTTATACGACGTCTACGTCCTCGCACAAAACATTGCTAAATCTCTCTCTCTCTCTCTCCCTCTTCATCAGCCTTCAGAGTCAAGACCAGCGCGCAGCGCCACCCAGCGGTGGTTATAGGTTAAAAATCAGGAGTGCGATCTCTCCGCTCTCTGTGTGTAGTGAGAGCGCATGTCGTGTGCGTGATCTTGGGTCCGGGGTTGTGCCTTTGTGTGAGTAGTGAGAGCGCATTCAGCAACAGCCGATGCTGCAGCCGCCGCTGCAGGTCACCCGCGCGTGGTCCCTCATGTAGAGGTGGAGCGTCGAAAAGAGCGACGTGTCGGTGAAGGTGCACGACGAGTTGCAAAAGTTCTTGCACATGGCGATGGTGGGCAGTGGGATGGGCTCCCACTGCCGCGCTGACGGCGGGAAGAGCGACTGCTGCCGGTCGGGATCGGCGAAAAAGAAGGCGTTGATCTTGCCGTCTGCGCCCTCTGACTCCTCGTCGTACATGGGCACAACTGGCACCAGGTTCTCGGCCTTCCACGAGAGATGCGGGCCCGAGAGGTCCCTGAACCAGTGGCTCCCCATCCCGGAGAAGCAAGAGCCGCGGACCCAGCCAGCCGCGGCAGCCTCTGCCCTCGTCAGCGGCAGTTCGAGTGCGATGCCGCCAGCACCCGCATTGATCACGAGTCGGTCGCCCAGCGGCTCGGAACTAATGGCTCGGCTGCAGGTCGCGTTCGGAGCACGGAAGGTCACTGATATGTACTTGCGCGGATAGCCACCGCTCTTCCCGGCAGGGAGGAAGAAGCCGGCCCTCACGAGGCGCGGCTTCGAGGCGCCCAAGACGTAGACGCCTGCGCCGGACACTTGTCCGCCCGGAGTGAAGTAGAGCAGTAGCGGCTCGGCGGGGTTGGTCGCGTTCTTTGAGCCCTTCTGGGCGTAAGGGATCCCAAGGCCCTCGAGGCAAGTGTCAGCAGCCGGCCTCCAGCCCTGAGCGGTGGCGGCAGCGACGGATATTGGCATGGGTGAGTACACGGTGTAGTCGCGCGCGAGCCGGTCGCCCAGCGAGACGCGAGCGAAGTGGGCCCCGGAGCCGGCCGCGAGCGGCAGAAGAAGATTTAGCTGCATATTTAATCGACTGACTCTTCCAATCGTGTTTATGCGTGTGCGCGGCGGGCAACGGCGAGGGTACAATTGTATTGAAAACCCACCCCGGGGTCCCGGCTTGACATGCAGGGCCCTCCAGGGGCCTAGAGAACACACCTGCCTATCTCCCTTTCCTCCCAACGCTGTAGATAGACTCTTTCATATTTATTTATTGCCTCGGGTATGTTCGTAAGAGCCACATACGTACATACAAGAAGGTCTTTAAAAATCTCTCTCTCTACATACACTGACTGAATGAAGCTCTCACTCACGCCGCGCGTAGGACCTTTAGGGGCTAGAGAACACACAAACCCTCTCCCTTTTCTCCCAGTAAGCTTAAAATTCGCAAACCCCGTCAGCAGTCCTCCTCCGGGAATGTACGTAAGAGCTACATTCTCCCAGTAAGCTATAAGTACGTACGTACACTGAGGGGCCTAGAGAACACAACCCCCCTCTCTCTTTTCTCCCAGTAAGCTATAAGTACGTACGTACACTGAGAGAGAGAGAGACGTACGTACGTACACTGAAAAATACGTTCCCTGAATAACATCGAAGGCTCCAAGTAAGTCAAAAGACACAGGCAAATTCGTGTTTGGGAGGAACAAGCCTTCCGCAGAGTCATCCGACTCAGATACAAAATGCGTCTGCTTGTGCTTGCCCTGCCGCTCGCGGTGAGCGGGATCTGGGTGGCGGCTGGCCCCGACCCCAGCGCCTCGCTCAAGAGTGCGGTCGATGAGTGCTACCCGACAAGCGGTCCGATCTCCGGCCCCCCTGACGCAACCGGCCCTTGTGCAACGCCGATCGGTCAATGGGACGTGAGCGCCGTCACTGACATGAATGGTCTGTTCTACAACATCTCGTACTTCAATGAGGACATCTCCGACTGGGACACCGGCGCCGTGACCGACATGGAGTCCATGTTTTACGACGCCGAATCCTTTAATCAGCCTCTGCCGTGAGCACTCCTCCGCAGCCCTCTGAGCTCTGTCACCTTACCCTGCGGAGGCCCTCCCCGGCGCTGCTCCCCGTCTCACCCGCCCATCGGGGACCTTGATACAGATGGGACACGTCGAGCGTCGAGACGTTCAAGCAGACATTTGCTGCGACTTCGACCTCTGCATTCAACGGGGACATCTCGACGTGGGACACCTCGGCGGCCACTTCGATGGAGTCCATGTTTTATGGCGCCAAGAGCTTCAACGGCGACATCGGGGGGTGGAACACGTCAAGCGCCACCACCTTCTACGCCATGTTCATGCTCGCCGAGGTTTGTTTGCCTCACCTTCACCGCCACTTTGCTAGCGGCGTAGTGGCTACCAGAGCTTCCCCTGCGCTGGCCGCTCTTCCCCTTGAGCTCTGCAGCTCAGTAGGACATCACCCCCCCCCCCCCCCGCGCGCGGCAGTCCTTCAACAAAGACATATCGACTTGGGACACCGAGTCGGTGGAGAATATGGGGCTGATGTTCTACGCGGCCGGCGAGTTCAACCAGCCCATCGGTGCGTGGGACACCGGCTCTGTCACCAGCACTCGCGCCATGTTTGGCGGCCTATACTCTCAGTACAACCAGGGCAGCGCCAACTTCAACGCGCCGCTCGACAGCTGGAAGACGGGGAACTTCCGGGATACCGCCTTTATGTTTGCCGGTGCCGCGCCCTCGCATTAGCTCCGCCACAGTCTGCAACCCTCCGCTGCGACGGCTCCCACTCGCACACACACCGCCAGGACGCAACGGCCCGGACGGGCCCGTCGGCGAGAGGCTCGGACGTCTTCAGGCCGACTCCTCCACCTGTTGACCCGCACAGGCGCGACGGCATTCAACCAGGACATCAGCACGTGGGACATGTCGAACGTGCGCAGCACGTCCGCCATGTTCTCTGGTGCCTTCGCCTTCAACAAAGACATCAGCACGTGGGACGTGCACAACGTGGTCGATATGACATCCATGTTTTTCGCCTCGCCCTTCAACCAGGACATCACCGGCTGGAACGTCTCTAGCGTCGAGTTCATGAACGCCATGTTCGCCTTCTCCAACTTCAACCGCACTGCGTGCGCCTCGGCCGTGGCGGCCCGCCTCGGCCCAACCTCCGCCTAGGCACCGCGTGTGGCGGAATAGGTATCCGCTCGAGACGACCGGCGAGTGGAGCGAGCGGCTCAACCTGACGGCCGCCGTAAACACCTCCTGCCCGCCGCAGCCGCCCGACGACTTTTGGGTCATCTCGGGCTTGGGCGCCAACCAACAGCTGTACTGCGGACACTCGTGCTGCCCACTGACCGGTGTGGGCGACCGCCCCTTGCCCCTCCCCCCCCCCGCCGCCGCCGCCCCGCCGCCGCCGCCCGCCCGCCCGCCCATCCCCACCCGACCCCACAGGTGACATCTTTTACAACCTCTCGGCGTGCGGGTGGCCCTTCGTCTGCCCCGGCGGGAGCTTCCAGGACCCGCACCTCAAATTTGCGTACGGCGGCCGAGCCGACTTCCGCGGGCTCAACCGCCACTACTACAACTTCTTCTCGGCGCCCCGAATCTCGGCAAATATTCGCACCGAGGATGCCAAGTTCAAGCTTCATAGTGGCGCGCTCCCGAGGACTCGCGGCCCTCGCCCTGGACGCATCCACCCCACCCCATCCCCCCACCCCACCCTCAGGCAAACTGCTCGTCGATGGCTCCTTCATGACTGAGTTCCACCTCACAGCGCTCGTCGGCGGCGCGAAGCGAAAGTGGGTGGCCCAGAGTGGGCGCTGCCTACCGCCGGCTCTGCGAACCGACACGTCGTCGACCGACTCCTCTAGGTGGGCCAACGTCTCCTTTTGGGCGTCAGAACTCAACAATCAGAACTGGGGTTGGAAAGTTGTCAACGGCACATGCGGCGGCCACTACTTCAAGCTGGGCAAGAAGACCACCAAGGTTTGCGAGGAGCTCACCATTGCCGTCAAGTCATCCAGCGCCACCTTCACCATTGACCTCAGCGACGGCCGCTCAGGCCCCCCCGCCCCCCCCTCAATCCACCAGCCCCTAGGCTCGCCGTGCCTCACACGACCCAGAGCGGCATCTACCACCTCGGCTACTCAGGGGCAATCTCGGCAAAATCTCGGCGACGAGGCCGCCTTTGCTCGCAGGCCCAAGCGCGGACCGGTGGGTTTTCCGCGTGCGCGGCAACACTGTGCACGACTGGGTCTCTGGGCCAAGGCACCGAATCGACGTGGACTTCGATGGCGTCGGCGGCGTTGCCGCGCGCTCGCTCCCCCACGGCGCCGCCCGTGCCGCCCGCCTGATGGCTGCCCCCCATACTCCTCACCGCCGATCCTTGCCTGCGTAGGCATCGTCGGCCAGAGCTTCTCCTCCCAGAGCCCCCGCATCGGTAAGACGGACAGCTACCCCAAGGAGGGCGTGTTCCGCACCACAGCAATGGCGGAGGGCGCGATCGAGGGCACCGCCGTGATGTATGATATGTCCACCGCGCATGAGACGCGGTTTCCCTTCTCGCGTTTCGACGCCGCCGAAACCGATCGCAAGTGCGCGGGCAGCCGCTTGGACCGCTCCCGGTGCCCCGAGGGCCTCATCCCGACTGTCACCCGCAGGCATCTCCTCCCGTCGCTCTCCTTGCCCGCCTCGGCGAAGGCCGAGGACACCGATGCGGGCGTCGACGTCGAGGAGGAGAGCATGCTGTGATCTGGAGCCGCCGCACCGTGTTCATAAAATGAGCCCCCTCCCCCATATGGGGGTACCTTTGGCGGCTGGGGCGACCTCGGGCGCCACTCCGTTGGCAGAGGAGAGAGTTGTTGGGGAGCTTAGAGGCCGAGGGAGGGGGGAAGCTTGGCGTTTGTGTCCGAGCGGGGACGCGGGGAGCGGGCGCTTTGGCCCGCGATTACATATCTGCCTTCATTGGTGCAGCTTCTGCGCCCGTGTGTGGAGGTGTGTGGTGCGTGTGTTTGGTGTGTCGTGAGAGAGAGATTTTTAGTGTGTCGATATGTTGTGTGTGTCGTGTGCGTCTTCAAGTAGTCAAGAATCTGGCGCCAGTCCGCGCCCTTGTCGTGTCAGTCGATTTATTTAGGTCCTCCGGGCCCCTTAAAGGAGGAGGTTACTTCCCCCAGGATTGGTCTTCTCTGCCTGCGGGAACACCCTCGGGCGGCCGGGTGGGGCTGCGGCTGGAGCTAGCATGGCTCGATAGAGCCGAGACCCCGTGTTGAGGCGGCGCTCCTGTGGGCGGCTGTGGAATCGGCAGATTCGACCTCAGATATCTCCAGTATTCTCGTCCCAGTGGATGGACGTCCGGACGTCCCTTTGTGTTCCTCTCCCCGTCCGCCAGCGAGACGCTCAGTCGCTGGCGGCCGCAGTTTTCTGTGAAGGGGTTTCTCCTGCGGAGTCGTGCGTGCGCAGGGCTCCTCTTTGCTTTCTTCTACTCCCTACTATCATCTCGTTCCCGTCCTACCAGAGAAAAACCCTGGCCGGCTGCTAGAACCCCAAGAAAGAAAGAAAACAGCGCCCAAGTTCTTTGCTTTTTACCGCGCAAGATGTAAAGGGTGGCTAAGGGCTCTGCCCGCAAGGCGCGGTACCATTGACAAATCTGCCATATACCCCCACACGAACAAATAGCAAAATCCGAATCCCGTGCACGAACTGCGTGATCTGCGCCGGGCAAGCCTTCAGCTGGTGCCACATCCGTAAAATTGAAGCCAAGAACGTCCGCCAAATCCGTGCTTTCTCGGAGCAACTGAGGGAGCAACTGAGGGAAAGCCGCTGATCGAGCCCGGCGTGCCCGCGGCCGCCTCCCGCGCAGCACCGCCGCTGGGGACGACACGCTGCGGAATCGGATCGAGCCCATGCACCGGGCAAAGAAGGACGCTGCAGTAGCGGTTGGAGAGGCAGCCGGCGTCTGCCGTCACAACGAGTCCCAGCGCTGGTTGGACATGCGCGTCGGCTCGCCCGAGGACTGCTGTCGCGACCCTCCCGTCGTGCCGCAGCCTCCGACGAGCTCTGCAACCGAGGAGAGTGAGGGTGCGCCTCCCCTCACTGCTGGCCGGGCTGCGCACCCCACAAAGCACCCCCTCGAGCATCTCTACAAGTACAAGTACAAGGGGCGGCGGCTCCGGCAAGACTTTAGCCTTGGCCCCTCCTTGCGGAGCAGAAGGAGATCCGCTCTCGGTCGGCAACGTGGCAGCTAGTCGAGGGACTCGGTAGTTGTGACCCCCCTGAGTGAGGAAGGACAGGAGAGAGAGAGCTTTTGTGGTGTTGGTGTACGCAATAACGGGACAGGGTAGTTAGTCGCTCTCTCTAGCTCCCCTTCTAGCTCTTAGCATGAGCTGCGCCCTGTGTCCGACCCCTTTTGCGCAGCAACACCTTAAACTTTCAGGCCCTCCAAATTCGGGTCGGAGCGTAGCGGAGTGGGCCCCGAGTTTGAAAAGGGCGACGGACGCTTGCGTCCTAGCCTCCAACAACGCCTCCCCGGCGCAGAGGGCCCCCCGGAGGGATGCTCAACCGCTCCACGCCACGCCGCTTGCGGCGGTCCTCTTCCCAGCTCCGCTGAGAGCCTTTCCGTTATGACCGCGCAAGATATAAAGGGTGGCTAAGGGCTCTGCCCGCAAGGCGCCCGCGTCGCAGACGCGGTACCATTGACAAATCTGCAATATACCCCCACACGAGCAAATAGCAAAATCCGAATACCGTGCACGAACTGCGTGATCTCGGCCGTGCAAGCCTTCAGCTGGTGCCAAGAAAACCCGTAAAATTGAAGCCAAGAACGTCCGCCAAATTCCGTGCTTTCGGAGCAACTGAGGGAGCAACTGAGGGAAAGCCGCTGATCGAGCCCAGCGTGCCCGCGGCCGCCTCCCGCGCAGCAGCCAGCACCGCCGCTGGGGACGACACGCTGCGGAATCGGATCGAGCCCATGGAGGAGGAGGGCGCAGTCGGCGAATCGGAGGAGGAGGAGGAGGGCGCAGTCGTCGACGTTGGCGTGTCTGACTCAGAGGAGGAGTTGGAGGTGCTCCAGCAACCTAACCTGATCCAGAAGGTCGCCGACGTTGTCAGGTTACGTGCGTCATGCGTGATCGAGCTTGAGGGAGGAGCTCAGCTAACGATTTGGCCGGCCACCCAGCGCCGCCGCCCACCGCCACCCACAAAGCGCCTGCTCTACTATCCCGTACCTGGCTGGCTGACGCTCGCCCCCCCCGCTCCACTTTCCCCTGACCATGCCCGTGATAGCACCATCACTGTCGCCGTCCTGGTTTTGAACGTGGCAGCTGGCTCTAGGGACTCGGTAGTCGTGACCGCCCCCTGAGTGTGAGGAGCAGGAGAGAGAGAGCTTTGTGGTGTTGGTGTACGCAATAACGGGACAGGGTGGTTGTTCTCTCCATCTCCCCTTCTAGCTCTTAGCATGAGCTGCGCCCTGTGTCCGACCCCTTTTGCGCAGCAACACCTTAAACTTTCAGGCCCTCCAAATTCGGGTCGGAGCGTAGCGGAGTGGGCCCCGAGTTTGAAAAAGGCGACGGAAGCTTGCGTCCTAGCCTCCAACAACGCCTCCCCGGCGCAGAGGGGCCCCCGGAGGGATGCACAACCGACCCGCGCCACGCCTCTTGCGTCTCCTCTTCCCAATGCACCGGATTTTTTTTTACAGAACCCTCCACCGCGATCCGGGGATCGCCCATGTGTCGGCTGAGATGCCCACGGCTACTCGTTCTGATCCTCACCGCGAGCCGGCCTCTCGCGAGCGGCTTCGCCCTCCCCGGCTTCGCGCTGCAACCCGCGCCCGCGCCGCTGAGATGCCCACGGAGATCAGTGCCGCTCCGGTGAGTTATAGCCGATCGCTCCAACCTGTCTGTACAGCCTCCCACCGCCGCAATCCGCCGACCCTAGGCTCTCAACCGACCAGCGCGAGTCGCGCGCACGGCTGGGTGATGCGCGGGCCGCCGCCGCCGACGGCAGCAACGACAGCAGCAGCGGTGGCGATGGTGCCGAGGCACCAAGCGCGGTGGTGGCAGGCTCAGCCCTGGCGGCCTCGGCGGTCATATTTGAGGGGGTGCAGGTGGCGGGGACGACGCTGCTCTTCCTTCTCGCGCAGCGCTGGACCGGCGCACAGAGTCCGGTGCGGCGAGTGCGGGGGAGAAGAGGATAGCACACGAGACCCTCACAACTTGCCGCGCACCACCTGCTGGCAAAAGCGGCACTCTGCGGCGTTGGGGCAATCCGGGAGCGCCGATCGCAGGGCGAGCGCGGCTCAGACACCTGCACGTACAGCACCCCTGGAGGAGGTGAGGAGGCGCAAAGCCAGGCCGGAGGGTGGGTGGAGGAGAGACACGAAAAAGCGCGCGCCTCGTGCAACCGGTGCCCTCCTGCCTGTGCAGGTCGAGGTGGTGACCTTGCTTGTCGACTACCTGCGAGATCTCGGCGACACGGGCTACGCCGCCTTCGCCGCCATGATGGTCACTTTCCAGGTCCCCTGCCCCGCCGGCTGTGCTGCGCCTCGGGTTGCACCTCGGCTGCACCTGCTTCCGGCTCGGATCGCGTGCTAGGTCATCCCGGTCGCCGCCGCTTTTGTGCTGACCGTGTCGGCGGGTGCCATCTTCGGGGCCACCAAGGGGACCGCCCTCGTCCTCTCCTGCTCCACCATCTCCGCCACCATCTCCTTCCTCCTCGCGCGCCTCTTCGGGCGATCACTCGTGCTGGACGCGGCGCGCGAGTCGCCGACTTTTCAGGCGATCGACGCGGCCTTTGCCAACGTCGGCTTCGCCAAGGTCACTCACGCTCCCTCGTCCCGGGAGCGCCGTGAGACCCTTAGGTTGAGCGAGACTGCGTACCGTTCCCCCTCAGGCTTTCACACTCATCTTCCTACTGCGTCTCTCACCCACCCTGCCCTTCTCAGGCTTTCACACTCATCTTCCTACTGCGTCTCTCACCCATTTTGCCCTTCTCGTGGGCAAACTACGTCTTCGGTGCCCCCTCCACTCACCGCCCCGCCCCGCTCCGCCCCGCCGCCCGCCGGCCCACCCGCCTGCCCCGGGCAGGGTCCGTTGGGTGCCCCCCCCCCCCCCCCTCCCAGCGTGGCACGGTTGCTCAAATAGGCCTCTCCCCTGTCCCATGGGCCGCCTTCTCCCTCGGCACACTCACCGGCTGCCTGCCCGCCGTCGCCGCCTACGTCACCTCCGGCGAGCTCGGCGCCTCGATCGCCGTCGACGGCGGCGACACCAACCCCTGGTTGCTCGCCGTCGGCATCGCCGCCACTATCAGCGCCATCAGCGTCGCCGGCAACATCGCGAGCGACGCGCTACGTGAGGAGGGGCTCGACTTTGACTTGGAAGGGGAGAGCAAGGCGAGGAGCTGAGGCGGAGGAGGTGATCCGCCCTCCCTTACCCGACTCCTTTAGGAGGTCTGGACGTGACTCGAATGTGCTGTGTATCTATGAGTGTGGGGGGGGTCGGGTGGGCGCCGCCAGCGGCGCAGCGCCCGCCAGCGGTCTCTCCAGGCGTGCGCCTGGCCCTGTTGGCTTGTATCGTCGCGGTATCACACACACATAGGCATAACAGCGCTCGTGCCCGACGCACAACGCCACAACCTGCAGCTAGGACGTGCAAAAAAAAGCACAGCAAGCACCCAGAAAAAAAGCAGAACTTGAACTACATATATTATCACACAGAGGATGATCGCTGCTCTCGCCGGGGCACACACAAGTCACAACGCACACACAAATGTCATATTATATCCATTGTATCCCGGAGTGACTTAAACTTGTACAGGCTACACAGCGCAACAGCCAACACGCACACACACAGTACGGTAGTGAGTGACACGCGCGCACGCCGCGCGTGCGCTGGCATTGCCGGCCGTCACACGCACCCCCTCTCACATCTCACTTGACGCGCCCCCGATAAATACTCTGGGCGACCCAACCTGATCGCCGGACGCTGGCACTGTACGCTCTCTCCCCATCCGGCCTCTCGAGGTGCACCCCCTGCTCTGCTGACACTGTAGGTTTGACAGCCGTCGGCACCGCGACACCGCCCACCGCGCGGAAGTCAGAAGGCATCAGAGTTCCTTGTTGAGGCAAAGGAGCGGCGCGGCTTGAGAGGCGAGCCTGATTGCGGCAGCGTTGCTGCGGGCGCCGCCTTCTCCTCCTCGTCGACAGGGTACGCTTGCGTCGTGCGCACCTCGAGGTGCGGCTTGCCCTTGGCTGGCTGCTGCTGCTGCGGCTGCGGCTGCGCCTTGTTGACGCGGGTCCAGTACGCCCTGCGGCCGGGGCGGGTCGCAGGTTGGGGAGCGGAGCGCCGGAAGAGGAATCTCTGGGGAATCGTCTCGATACGAAAACTGAAGGACTCTCGCCTGTAGTCGGGCGGCTCGTAGGTGTGGAAGAGGAGGTCGAAGAGGATGAGCCGCTTGGAGAAGTTCGAGAGCGGCTTCTGGTGATGCATGGTGTGATGCGGCACCTGGCCAGGGGGGGGAGAAGCGGTTGTAGACGAGAGAAGTGTTTGGCTCTAGATGCCAGGCCCAGGGAGGGAGAGATGGGCCGCGGAAGAAGGTCCGAGATCGTGTGCGAGATCGTGTGCGAGATCGTGTGCGAGATCGAGTGCGCGGCTCATCTCATGCGGCGTGTGCGGCGCCTCGAGCGAGAGGCCGCACAGGTCGGCCATCAGCCGCTGCGGGTGGCCGGTTGGTGTCCAGCTCATCTCCGTGTGCCCGAGGAGTTCGATCATATGGGCCTACCGCGGCAGCGCCGCCCCGAAATCAGGCCGAGAGCGCGGCCGAGGGGCGGCCGGGCGGTTCGAGCGTGCCCACGAGACGTAGAGCGCGACGTCAAAGGTGGAGAAGGAGAAGCAGAGCGAGAGGACCTGAAAGCCGACCAGGTACGAGGACAGGATCGAGGCCGTTTCAACGAAGGTGAGCTCGTACGTCTCGTAGGCGACGAGGTGGCCATGCTCCTACGGCGACCGCGGCAGCGGGTCGTGGGCGTGCCGCGGGCGCGTGTCGCGCCACGGATGCGCCGCTGCTCTCCTTGCCCGTCTCTGCGTGGTGAGGCGCGTGGACGAGGCGGTAGAGCGTCCTGCGGGTGGTGGGAGGGAGGAGGTGGTGAGGGTGCGGCAGAGAGGAGGAAGGGAGAAGGCGGTCGGGCTCCGAGGCGGCGGCTGGGAGGGAAGGAGAGGCGCGTGTGGCGGACCGGTTGACGTGGCAGCTGCGGTGAAAGGCGTAGAAGCCGAGGTCCAGTCCGATGTCGAAGAGTAGGGTCCTCCAGACCGCATGCAGCAGCACAGAGGCGGGCGGAGCGCCGAGGCCGTCCTCGCGCAGCCAGGGCCAGATCTGGAAGGCGAGCACGTATCTGCGAGGCGGCGGCTCGGGTCGGCCCTCGCGCAACCTCTTGGTGGCTGGGTCTCTGGGAGGGCAGGCACCCCAGCGTCTCCACGGCGGCAACCTTGAGCTGAAGGACGATCTGCTTGGCTGTCGGCGCCTTGAGCGGACGGCCCTCGTAGAGATCGGCCATCGCCTGCAGCGACGTCGTCTCCCACACCGAGATCGGAAGCGTGAGGAGGCAGCAGAGTAGCGAGTAGCGGGAGCCGAGACAGAGGACGGCGTAGCGGGTGAGGACTGCGAGGAGGGATTGAGGCCAGAGCTGCGCGACAAAGTGAAGCTTCTTGCGATCGTGTGGGTGTATCATTCGAATGTACACGAGGTTGAAGAGGTAGAACGCCTGAACAAGGGTTGGCGGGCTTCTCTCAGGATGCCACCGGCTCGCAAGCAGGCGGGAGTTCCCAAGCAGCTCGATGGTGCGTGTGGCGGATGAGAAATTGCGGCTCACCACCCAGACGGCAGCAACGGGACACCAGGAGGCCATTTCGTCTGCTTCGATATTGGCCATTTCGTCTGCTTCGATCTTGGCAAGATTGGGAGGGAGGCCGTGATCGGTGCCTTCCATTGCGAGCCCGTGGCCGGAACGAAGGACGAAATGGCCGAAACTCGATTACTTTTTGAGCTTAGCCTTCGATGTTAGGAAACAAAGCAAGGCGGACATGGCATATCGCTCTCGGGCCCACAGACATCCCGCACACCCGCCGCCACCCGCGCGCGCCCCGCCCCACCTCGGCCGGGAGAAAGGGGAGTGACAGTGCGGGAAGGAAAGCCCGGGTAGTATGTCGAATCCAAATACTTTTTTCGTATTTTGTGGATGCGAGAAGAGAATTCGGCTCAACTCCCGCGACAGGAACAACATCCGTCAGACGCCTTGGTGCTACGAGCTGAACAGCCGCAACTACGCATGCAAGAACTACTTCGCCTTTACCAATTGTGCCGTGTGTGTGTGTGTGTGTGTGTGTGTGTGTGTCGTGTGTGTGTGTGTGTGTGCGTGCGTGCGTGCGTGCGTGTGTGTGTGCGTGCGTGCGTGCGTGTGTGTGTGTGTGTGTGTGTGTGTGTGTGTGTGTGTGTGTGTGTGTGTGTGTGTGTGTGTGTGTCGGCTAACCTCGAAATGTGTGCACCTTGGATGGCTGCGCTCCCTGTTTCACAGCCATCCGTGCTAAGGATGGCTGGCACACCTAGATCTCAGCCATACACTCCTACCCGATGGCTGAGATCTAGGTAGGCGCGCCAGCCATCCTTAATACGCATCCATGGCTGCAATTACAGGATCCTAGCCACTCCGCCCTCCCAGCACGCGCCATTTTTTGGCTGCCTTCCAGCGAGTGCAGCCATCCTACGGGAGATAGTTGAGCACTGTGGGCCCGATCAACCAACCCCGCCGTAT